ACTCCTAATATGTTGTTTCAAAGGCAGATGAAAAATATTAAAAATCCTTAGTCACAATTTTTTTTTATAAGCATTTAAAGTTCAAAATTGACAAAATATGGAAAAATCACGAAAATTAGCAAATTATTTTGAGTTAAGAATTCGTAAAAATTTTTCTTTTTAAATCTAAGATTTGAAAATGAAACACAAGATTCCTTATAAAATTATCTACCTTTATCAATAAAAAAATCTCTACCGGACAGTCAAATTAAATTTTTATGAGCGTTTGAAATTCAAATTTTTACAACATTGGATTTTCACTCGATTACTCATGTAGCGATTTCCTTATTTTGTTGCAATTCAAAAACGAACAACTGTAGATACATGAAAATTTCACTGAATGTTTAAATTATCATTTTCTATACACCATACAATTTTGAAAATATTTTGACTCTTTTTGAGCTGTTTATGGACATTTACAGCTTTCAATTTTTTTTTAGTTTTTTTTTCTATAAATATCAATAAAGTTTTATCTGTTTGGCCAAAAAGTGTAAAAATTTAATACAAGGCTCCTGATATATTGTTACAATAGCAGTTGAAAAATATTAAAAATACATAGGCACAGTTTTTTTTTATAAGCATTTAAAGTTGGAATTTTGACAAAATTTATCAAAATCTCGAAAATTATCAATCGTTGGAATTAAAAAATTATAAAATGTTCAGTTTTTATAACTAAGAGTTGAAAATTTAAAACAAAGGTTCTCTTAAATAATTCATACTGTAACCAAAAAATCTAAAAAATATATAAACACACTAATTTTTTACAGACATTTTAATTTCAAATTTAGACAAAATTTCATATTTAAACCAAGAATTACGATTTTAGTTATTTTGTTGTGATTGAATAATATTATTCGAAGGTACTTGAAACTTCTAAAGTGTACTATTATATATCTATGATAGTATCACGGTTTTTGTTGATGTATAACGTGTTATAAGTATCTAATGGATATTGTGATATGATTAATTTGGAATTTATTATAGGTCAATTTTTTGTTTAATACCATAAATATGTATATAATATGTCTTATACATAGACTGACATACCGTCTCCGCTCAGAATCGTTTTTCTTATACAATGATATTATATCGTTGAATTCAAATTTAATATCATCCATTGTACAGTGACCCACTTGTAACCTACTGTACAGCAGAGCGACACCCACTTGCCCACCTTTTTTTAAATTTTTTTTTGTATCTGTGTACACGATAAGTAGTCGAAATAATGCTTCGATTTTCGACTTCAGTATCTTGTTCGATTGGAAAGTGAATATCGTTGGTGCATTGGGGAGGTCAAAATTTAAAATTCCCAGTACTTTTCAAAAGCGCCAAGAAAAACAAAAGAAAAATTAAGGAAAAACGGGAATTTTTACGCAAAATCGATTTTTCAGAAAATTGAATTTGGTTTTTGGTGTAACTTTAAAACAAATGACCGTAGGTACATGCAATTTTCACTGGTTGTTTATATTTGCATCTTCTATACACGATAACATTTTCAAAATATTTTGATTTATTTTGAACAGTTTAGGGACATGTTCATTTTTCGTTTTTTTTTAGTTTTTTTTCTAGAAATATCAATAAAATTTTATTTGTTGGTTGCGAAAGCTTGAAAATTTAATAGAAGGCTCCTAATATATTGTTTCAAAGGCAGATGAAAAATATTAAAAATCCTTAGTCACAATTTTTTTTTTATAAGCATTTAAAGTTCAAAAATTGACAAAATATGGAAAAATCACGAAAATTAGCAAATTATTTTGAGTTAAGAATTCGTAAAAAGTTTTCTTTTTAAATCTAAGATTTGAAAATCTAATACAAGATTACTCATAAGATTGTCTACATTTATCAATAAAAAAATCTCTACCGGAAAGTCAAATTAAATTTTTATGAGCGTTTGAAATTCAAATTTTTACAACATTGGATATTCACTCGATTTCTCATGTGGCAATTTCCTTTTTTTGTTGTAATTAAAAAACGAATTACTGTAGATACATGAAAATTTCACTGAATGTTTATATTAGCATTTCCTATACACCATACAATTTTGAAAATATTTTGACTCTGTTTGAGCCGTTTACGGACATTTTCAGTTTTCAATTTTTTTAGTTTTTTTTTTCTATAAATATCAATTAAGTTTATCTGTTGGGCCAAAAAGTGTAAACATTTAATACAAGGCTCCTGATATATTGTTAGAATATCAGTTGAAAAATATTAAAAATACATAGGCACAATTTTTTTTTATAAGCATTTTAACATCGAATTTTGACAGAATTTTTCAAAATCTCGAAAATTATTAATCATCGTAATTAATAAATTATAAAATGTTCAGTTTTTATAGCTAAGGATTGAAAATTTAAAACAAGATTCGTAAGTAGTTAATTCTCTTACCGAAAAATCTAAAAAATATACAATCACAGTTTAGTTTTATAGTCAGATTATGTTCAAATTTGGACAAAATTACATATTAAAAAACCTAGTTATTTTGTTGTGATTATATAATATTATTCGTGGGTACCTACTTGAAACTTCTAAAGTGTACTATTATATATCTATGATAGTATCAGGGTTTGTTATTGATGTTGATGTATAACGTGTTATAAGTACCTAATGGATATTGTGATAATGTGATATGATTAATTTGGAATTTATTACAGGTCAATTTTTTTTTTTAATACCATAGATATGTATATAATTTGTCTTAAACCTAGACTGACCTACCGTCTTCGCTCAGAATCGTTTTTCTTATACAATGATATTGTATCATTGAATTCAAATTTAATAGCATCCATTATACAGTGACCCACTTGTAACCTACTGTACAGCAGAGCGACAACCACTTTTTTTACTTTTTAACTTACTTTTTTATTACCTACCTATACTGAAAAAAATCCTGATCATATAAAATAATACAAGTATAAAGGTAAATTAGTTCAGTATAATTAAAATATGGCAATACAAATTCAAGTTATTTATTTATATAAGATAATCATTGGATAAAAAATATTAAATAGATATACCTACAAAAGTAGATATACATTTAAATGGAATTTATACCATTAGGTTAGGTATTATAAAATATATTTTAGTAGGTACATATAAATTTAACTTTTTAACTGACTTAAAACTATAAATTTTTTAATTTAGATTAACTGCAGACCTTTTAATAATATAATAGTTTACCTTATTATGATTGTCAATGCTTTGATGCTGATTAAGAACTGTACTAAATTATTAAACAAATATAGTTTGATTTTTTATTGTTTTAAACAAATTTCAATGAATTAGGTACACAACACACAGTAACAAATAACACAGTGACAGTCAATACACTTCACCGTTTAGACTATAGTAAAGTAATACTAGTAATAGGTACCTACATTATCACAGTGAACAACAATGATACACATTACAAACTAATGAAATACCTACGTATAAATCTGATAATATTTTTGGTGTTTAATAATTTATAGTCACCGTTGTCCTATAATATTATCTGTGTGATTACTGATTTCTATCGGGGAAAAAAAATTATAAATAGAATACTGTGTTGACTCTTATCTATTGTTGGTGATTCAATGTGGTATAGAATTTACATTTGTCTTATGACTATTTGATTTTTTTTTTTACTATTCTTCAAATTTTTCTCCGGGGGGGCACTAGACATTCTCCGGGGGGCAAGGCCCCCCCGGAGAAGTACCTGAAAGAAACACTGGTTGTTTGTATTATTTTAGTATTGGATTATTTTATTTTTATTTTAATATTTTATTTTTATGTTTTTATATTATAAAGTGTTACTGTTAAGGTCATCTAACTTATTGATAAAATAATAACAATATTTAACATTTAGACAGTTGGTAAGCGTAAATTAATTACAATTATTATTTTCAGGCATTTACATCGATAAATATACCTATATATAATTATACAATAAAAAGAATAATGCATCTATAGGTGTTGTATTTTTTTTTTCTGATATTATTGCAGTTGAGATAGGACATCATGAGGACATCCACGCTTGAGACGCCGGAGGGTAGGCTTAACGCTGAGTTGAAATGTTTCACGCTACTGGCGTTGTTTAGTTGGCCAAAAAAAATTGATCGTGAGATTTTGTACGTAGGCTTTGATTGATAGGAGTTTGAAGTCGTTCATTCAAGAGTGCTTCATTTCTGATGAACCAAGGCGCGTTGGATATTTACGTAATATCTTGGATTGGAAGATTTGTATCTTATTTTAATATTAACATTAAACCAACCATAAAAAACTTGATGGATTATTTTTAAATAAACTGAGGAAAGTGAAGTTATTTTAACTGTCAATTACACTAGTTCAGTTCAAAAGTTGATCAGAAAATTAACGAACTACTTCAGTTAAAAAGTTAAAAATAAATTAACTTTTCAACTTCAACTTTTTAAATAATTAATGGCCACCTTTGCATATGGGATACAGAGTATTTACATAAAGCATAAATACAATTTTTTAAAAAGAAACACTATAGGTAACCTACATTATGTTGTGCTATCCTACCTATATTTGTTTTCTGATTTTTTTTTAAAACATTTAAAATATTTGAATTTTATTTAAGTATTTTAATACAAAACTTACTCTAATTTGTACAACCATACAAATGTAACAATAGTATTTTGGGTCTCATGGTTCATATTGAAAATTAGGAATTCAGGAATTGGTATCATTATACCTATATAATATAATCTGTAAAATCAACAAAATTTATAATATCACATTTAGACAACGAAGCAGAATTAATCAAAAAATCAAAAGTATTGTTGGAAGACGAACATTTACAAAATTATTTAGCTTATTTAAAAAGTAATTTTTGTTTTCTCATCCAAGCCTAACCTAGAAAAAAGTACACTATCTCTTGATGAAGTCTTAAAAATTATTTTAAATGTGAAAGATAAACTGTATAAATGTAAAGGCAGAGTAGCAGAATTCGAAAAACTGAAATGGATTTCATACTAAAGATGAATAAGGGATTCAAAATACTTTTAAAAATTCTTAGCATTATAAACGTTGAATATGAAGAGGAAGAAGATGTTAATACTCCAGGACAAATCGCGTCATTTAATATGCTCCAATACCCTTATGTGATGTGGAAAGGAGATTTAGTCAATATGAATCTATTCTACGTTCAAATCGCTGGTCGTTCGTATTAGAAAATGTAAAACAACATACCAAAGTAGCATGTAATAATATAAACTAATATTTAATGTAATAATAATAATAAACATTTGTTTTTGCATATTTTACAATTTGTTTTTGCATATAGATATTTTAGCCATAATCATTAATATTGTTTTTTGTTTATACTCAGTGGTGTTAATTTAACCTAACACAATATTTTATCGGCTAACTGTGAAAAAGTTATAGAACAACAATTTCCAAAAAAATGTGTTAATATTGAATTCATATTCATCATCTAAATATTGTATGTATAAGCGCAACTAGAGGCCAAACACTGGCGGTGCTAAATGTATGTAGAGGAAACCAACTCGTGGGGGCATGTCTCCAAATACCACCAAGTTCCATACCTACATAAGTTTTATAATTACTATAACAATTCCCAAATGCACCGTTACAACATAAGCAAACTAATATTTAAGTATACAAAACAGTAATATACCTGATAAAAACATTACTTACCTATATTATGTTATTTAGATGATAAAAATAGTGACCAACTATTAAACAGATAAAAAACCAATTTTATTTAGTAACTTACGTTAAAATAATTAAGCAATTTAAAATTTTTAAATTAAAATTACTGATAACTGAAGAATTTATTATCTATATATTTGACTGCATCGATATAATTTTTGATGTTACATACCTAATATTTGATACAACTAGGTACCTATAATCATCATAAACAATTTGTGTTCCTGCTAAAAAACGTCAAATAATAAAAAACCCTACTTAAAACAAAGAAAACTCTTTCTTCATATTTTGATTTTTCAATTTTTGGCTGAAGCACCCCCACTTTCAACCATTTTTATATGTAAATATATTATTATTATAATAAAATCAACTCTAATTATTTAATAATATATAGGTTGTGCCATCTCTGGAATATTTTATACGTTATTATAACATTTTGGGAAACACTTTATGTTTCCGTAAATTTACAGTCCGTAACATTCCGGATTCTCACAGTCCGCGTTTTTACAGTCCGATACATGTTATTCCGTATTTTTACAGTCCGGGATTTTTCATTCAGAGAATTTACATTCCGTATTATTGTAGTCCGAAGTATTACAGTCCGGTGTATTACATTCTGCATTTTTACAGTCCGTTCTTTTAAAATCCGGGTTATAGCATTCCGAACTTTAATGGTCCTCAAATTTACATTCCGGCTTTTTACATTCCATAGAATTATTTTCCGGACAATTATAGCCCCCCGATGCCACCGGAAGCTTGGTAAAAAAACTGAAGAGAACTAAACAAAATATATTATCAAGCCATATATTTTTATATAAAGGAGTTATTAATATTATAAATTACCAAGTTCCAGTCACGCAGATGATAAGTGAAAAACATGACACTCTAACAATATTTTACTGGTTAGCGGAATGGATTAAAGATGGAGGTCCCATACCACAAGAAACTGCGTGTGATTACTCAAAAGCATTGCTAGGAGCAATTTCAAGAGCATTTTGTAATGGTACTACCTTAAGTGATTATGTGGATAAATGCTTCAATGTTTTATGCTCAAAATCTTATAATGACTTGCCACCATGCTTTATACGAATTGATATTGCACATTTAGTTAAACTAGTTTGTCGCTGGAAATGTTTGGCTGGCACTAACAAATATAGACTGAAACAGTTTTATGTTAGATGTGTTATACTATTAGTTGAAGCGAAATGTATAGATGAGTTTGAAAAGATATTAGTAAACATTTTAACAGTATCAATGAGCCAAACAGAGGGTGATTTAACTAAAAGTACAGGAAAATGTCCATCTGAAGAAGCAAGAACCAGATTACTTTTCAATATACGAGGTTCCAAAATTAATGAAAATGAAGTAGTGAAATCTACAATCGATAACAATGATACATTTCCCGATCACTCAGATGAAGAAACCGATGTTTCAAGTAAACTAAAACAGAATTCCAAAATCAATGCATTTTTGAATACAATAAAATCAAAGAGTAGTTCTAACTCGTTAGTTGAAGGTGATCGAATAAGTCCATATTTTTTGCCGGATTTTTCCAAAAACATACTGAGGCTTTGTAAAGAATTTCCTTTATGGTCAAATGTCATGTCCCCAGTTTTCAAATCACCATACGAATGTGCAACATCTGCAGCCGTAGAAGGAGACTTTTCTTTACTAAAAAATAATATATTAAAGAAAAATACGACAACTATGACTGTTGATCGCTTTCTAGTCACCCATCTCAAAAGTATTGAAAGTTCAATGAAAATTGCACGTAGTAGTCAGTTACAAGAAAACAACTTTCATGAAATACATTTTGCAAACAAAATTGAAAAACCAATTTCTCGTATGTCACCAGTGTCTTTATTAAACTTTATACCTTCTGACAAAGAGTACGAAAGTGATTTAACGGAATACGAGAATAAACATGAAAAAAACCAACGATTTATTGATGAAAATGAAAAAAAAACTGATAGATGACGATGGTGAAATAAATGTGCAAATCCAATCAGTAACGCCTTGTCCTTCACCAAATTGTTCATTTGGTAGTGGAATGACAATAGATCAAGAAGAAACATGGGGTGGTTTAACAGAATTTGAAACTGGGCCTTTAAAGCACACTCTAAAATATTCAAATACTGTTGAAAAAAAAAAGACCAACAAAATATCTTGATACTTGTCCTGAAATTGATCGCATAATTAACAGATCACGAATGCGATCTCATACGTCTACATTAATTTTAAATGGAAATATTTCTCCATTATGCAATTATGATAAAAACACACATGTTCTAAATAATACTTGTCCTTTTGACTCCGTTATAGTTGGTATTGCAGTTGCATATGTAGATTATGAACAATATGCTTCTTTCATCGATGGGTCAAAAAATGAGTACTTAAATTTAGCAAAAGATCTTGGTCGTCATGGCTCATCGAAATTATCATACACAAGAAGATTGATATTATTGATGCCATATTTCGATATATCTACATCTATTCCCTCTGTGTATACTCTTAATACTGAATGTAATGTCTTGAAAGTCATCCAAGATTATATGAAAAATGATCCTAACTGTACTCAGACTATACTATGTTCAAATAAAAACTGTCCTGAAAAAGATAGAATAAGACATTCAGCTTCAATAATAATAAATGACTTAAACAAAATACTTGAAAAAGGGTTTTCATGTCTAAATATGTTATTAGAAAATTATTTAAAATCAGAAAGAACACCATGCATTTATAAACATTGTGACGGCATATTAAAGAAAGAAAAGAAGCTCGGAAGCCACATTTTTATTGAAACTGATCAATTATCAATAGACTCATCCACATTTTCGTGTCTTTTAAACCAAATTCCAGTGAACATAAATCTAAACAATGAGAAGTAAGTGTATAAAAACTATTTGACTTAAAGTAGGACAATAATAATTTTTTTGTTGACGTAATAATAAATAAGCAAAAACTTAAAAAAATAAAAATCATGCTTTAAAACAATATTATTAATAATTTTTTCATAATAATTAATTATAAATAAGCTAATAAGAATGATTTTTTTAAATTGTTTTATAACATATTTTATCATTAAAAGAAATAAAAACATTTAAACATTATAACATTGATAATTAAAAAAAATTAAAAATGTATATGTAATACTTGGTGTATGAAATTTCTTATAGGTAAATTATTTGAAAAAAACAGAGGTTTAAAAAAAAACAAAAACAGTCATTAATCATTTGTTTTATTTAATTTAGATTTAAAAAAATATAAATTGTAAATTTTTTTATCAAATATAGATTTTCTATTAATATTTTTAATTTTTAATATAATTTTTATTAAAAATTGAATTCAAATAAAAAAATGTTGAATTTTTATTTCCATTTATATTTTTACTGAATTAAATATACGTTTTTTATCAAATAAAGATTTTTTTAAATAAACATTTTTATTAAATTTAGATTTTTCTAATAAGATTTGTATTTTGACATATAGATTTTTTTAATTTATTTAATTTCAATTTCATTAAAATTTATTTCTTTATCAATTTAAATTTTTTTTCAAAAATAGATTTTTTTATAAATAGAATTCAAATTTAAAAAATTAAAAACTATTATTTCCAATTATATTTTCAATAATTAAATATTCATTTTTTCATCAAATAAAGATTTTTTCATCAAATTAATTTTTTTTTTTAATTTAATATATATTTTTTAAATTTTTTTATTTTATTTATATTTTTATATCATTAGACATATAAGTTACGTAATAAAAATACATAGAATCTATATAAATTGACATACATTTTTTAGGTTCATATTAGTTGCTGTAATACATTACATATCGTTTCACAATTTCACTACGTAACCTACGTGAGACGAGGATTCGATCAATGGGAAATACACAACGACTTGGAAAAAAAAATTAAAAAAATTAAAAACATATCGAATACGACAATAAATCCACATATAATAATGTACATCAGACAATAGTTTAGTTTAAAAAAGCAAGAAGCAAGTAGCAACTAACAAACTATATTACTATTTGTATGTTTGTCATTATTTCTTATTTAATATTTTTAAATAATTTTAATAACTTTCATGATAAGTTTGTTATATTATTATTATGTTTTTAGTATAACAATAAAAACCTAGAGTTCAAATATAAAAAAAGTAAAAAATCCCTAAGATTTAAAAATTATTTTTTATAAGTATGTTTATTTTATTGATGAAAGAATAATATAAAACTATATTATGAATTGTGGTGTTTTATAACTACTATAAAATAAATTATATATTATATTATTTTAATACCACTTGTCCACTTATACGTAGAGGCAGTGGCGGCTCGTGGTATGGTGCACAGGAGCACGTGAACCACCCAAAAAATTATATTAAAAAATTATTATATGCCATAATAACATAATATAATTGATGATTATGCAAATGGTCTGTAATTAAAAAAAATATAAATATTTATATTAATAAAAACAAGTTTTTGCAGCTTTTATGTTAAGAAATATATTTATAAACGATTAAATAATATCGCGGAGCACAAGTTGTTTGTGCTCCGGGCGGCCGTATAAAAATTAGCTACATGCCTCGACACGCCGACCGGTAATACATGGCAATTTGGAGCACATTTAATGTGTGCACCGAACCTATTTTATTGTCGCGCTATCGCGATATCGTGTCATTCGTTGAAACGATAACGCATCATTGTACAGTATCCATCAACTGCCGCCAGTGTGCAGCACTGCAGCAGTCAAATCAACTAATAACTACTATAATATCCATAGACTTATTATAAATAAAATAAATAAATGAAATGTCTAATTTTAACGAAGAAGTTTTTGAAGTGTTTATACAAAAAAAAGACAGACGTATAGATTTAGTTTTTAAAAATGTAACTGATTAATTTCATATAATAATAATTGTAATTTGTTGTAATTGTATAGCTCTAGCCTCTAATAATAAATTATAATTACAACGATATTGTGTATTTGTGTTTATATTCATACATAATAAGTTAATAATAAGTAGTTGATAATTTTTTATAATTTAATTTATATTTTAATGGGGTAAAATGCTTAAAATCATTTAATTTAGATAAGATAAGTAGGTACATTATTTTGGTATTATTCGTGGTATGTACCTATACCTATTGTAATGGGATTACGCAATACCATATATTTTGCTCATAATAACAACCAGGAATGCGACCACACCCAAAAGTGTTTTCGACTACGAATACCACTTTCATAATCGTGAGGTCCATATCAAGGGCGGCTGTACACGCGCCGCTCACTTTCAAAGGACGCCGCCACCATATATATAGGGGACAGCGAGACAGCCTGAGTTAGATGTATCCAGAGACGAGAACACCACACGTCTCGCTCAACCGCCCAGCCATTTCACACGACTTACACGGAGATTATCAACTTCGGAACGAACTACAAATTCACTACAATCAACACTATTATTCTGCTTGTTTTGTCTGGTTTAATATAATACATTTGATTACCATTCTAATTGACTATTATTATTTATCAAGTACACCAGCTTTTGGATCCCTGAAGGGCCGCATGTAACACTGGCGCAGTTCGGTAAGGATTCCAAAAGGAGGCAACCATCAAAGGCTACTGTCAACAACGAAGAATTGATCACTCTTTGGCGAAGACAACTCCAGGAGGAACCAACAAAAAAAAAACAAATAAGTCACATTGCAGTACCAACAAATCCATTAGCAGCATCATCAACGGCAACATGTCATCATCAGCCATGAACACAGCATTATTGTGAGTGAATAGTTATTTAAATTTGTTACATAGACGTATGCAACATAATTAAGACGTATTAAGATAAATCTAGGTAGTTGATTATAAGTGTAATGGTGTAAACCGTTTTAAATTTTATTGAGGGCATATTTTATTGATTATTATTGAAGTTTATTGAATTATTGAGGGCATATTGATTATTTGAAGTTTTATTATTGAGGGCATATTTTTATTGAAGTTATTATTGATTATTATTGAAGTTTATTGATTATTGAGGGCATTTTTATTATTGAAGTATTATTGAAGTTTATTGAATTTATTAGAGGGCATATTATTGAAGTTATTATTGTATTTACAGGGCATTATTGAATTTTATTGAGTATTATTATGATTATTAACGTATTAAATAGGTGGTTAAGTTAATTTATGGACAAAAAAGATACATCTCCCTTGAAAGTAATTAATTCATTGTATGACACTAGTGTATTAGAAGAAGCCCAGTTAGAAGCCCAGTTATTAGCCCAGAGAAGCCCAAGCCCAGTTTAAGCCCAGTTGAATATTATAGTAGATACCCAGTTAGGAGATAGCGCAAGTAGAAACCCAAGTCCAGGAGTAATCACACGTAGCCAAGTTACAGATAGTTTTGAACACCAGTCATTAGTATTTTTACCTATAACACGCACTAAAAAAAAAAAAAAAATGACAGTAACCATAAAATTAGAAAACGCTTTTAAATTAATTCCACTATGCACAGGAATAGACGATATCTATCCATTCATAAATGCATGCGATATGGCAGTAAGTTTAGTCGACACAAACAGTGCACCAACGCTAGTAAAATATATTACCACACGTTTAACGGGTAGAGCATTAGAAATGATTAAATACAAAAATGTATCGAAATGGCAGTTTATAAAAAATTATTTAACAGATGCATTTGAGGTAACAACTACGGCATCACCGTTACAACTTCAATTAAATTCGATTAGAATGAATCACGATGAGGATGTAAACGATTATTGCCATAGAGTAGAGAAACTATATTATCAGTTATGTACCGTAAGTACATTAGGCAAAGAACCTGCAGAAGCAAAAATTATATATGATATATTAAGGGAACAAACTCTAGCGATATTTATTAAAGGATTAGTAGAACCGATTAGAACAATAGTAAAATCTCACAATGCTAAAACTCTGGAAATCGCGAAACAAATCGCCATGTCAGAACAAGTAGAACTAAGATTAGAACAGGAAAATAGAAACCATTTTTCGAATATTCATTCACAAAATTATAACCAGCGCAGATCGAATTACGAAAATAGGAACAACGAAAACATTAGACCAAATAACCCTGTAAGGACAAATAATCATCCGCGAGCAAACAATTTTTTTCAACCAATCAATGGGCCAGCAATAAAATGCTACAATTGTAATGGTAATCATTTTGCATCTCAATGTAGGAATAATACGAGACCTAGTTATGCGAGCAATGGCAATAACAACCGTCCACCTGATAGGGATAATTTTACGCAACCACTTACGAATTATAATATACAGGTAGTTACGTGTTCATACTGTAATCAAACTGGTCATAATATCGACTCGTGTTATAAAAAGAGAAGCGATGAGAGTAGGAACGTTAATAATTCGGAAAACGAAAACGTGTCGAACGAGAGGCGCGGTACTCGTACGATAAACCAGATTATCGCGGAACAACCGACGAACGAATATTTCACATATTCGCAAAACTAGAAAATAATCATATAACATTCGATTCTAATGCCGCAAAAACAAATCAATTACATTTAATGATAGATACAGGTAGTCAGGTAAATATTCTCAAAATAAATTGCTTACGCGAAGAACTAGAAGTAGACGAAACGCAAAAAATAAATCTACGCGGTATAAATGAATGTCTTACAAAAACCATAGGGAAAATATCAATATTAATTAAATTAAATAGCGAAAACATTAAAACAGAATTTCATATCGTAAGTGCACGATTTCCAATACCCAAGGACGGAATATTAGGAAACGAGTTCTTGTCGAAAAATAACGCAATAATCGATGTAGCAAACAACAAATTAATTATTCAAACGACCTCGCATGCGCTAACAA